ATCTATTGTTCTGTAATCTACTATAATACCTATTTTGCCACCATTAAGGATACCTGTAAGGCGGATTATAGCACGTTTCGTAGCCCAGGTGTTTTTTCACGCGTGCATGTCGGCCAAGCGAGTGAGTGGGACGCCAGGCGTCGTTCGACGACCTCGCAGGCGAGAGGAGAATCGCTCTTCTGGGCTTTTCACCGATACCTTAGAAAGTTTCTCGGTGGGAGGCGCGCCAACAGCCTTGAAAATCGACGCTGCCATCGTCCAGGTGGCCGACACCGCGCCGAAAAAGGTGTCACGGACGTGATAAGTCGCCAAATTCGAATTTCGTACGTAATTGGCCAATCCTCCAGATCTACCTGTGCTCGCAACGTTTTGCAAAAATGGAAAGACCGTGTAAACTTCAGCCATTCGTCAGCAGAAGTGATTAATCCCGCCTTTCTGACCCTTCTTAAATTCTGCCACCAAAGAATTTCACCTAACTTTTTATATTCAAAATAAATTTTTATCTTTCACGTAACCGTTTCATCCATTCGAATTTTAATTTCGCCAGAATTTCTCGTCGCGATTTAAACAAATATACCTCTTCCTAAATTCTGCCACTAAAACATTTGATTCGTACCTAATCTTTTATGCCCGAATTAAATTTTAAGTATAAAGATCAGCGTACGTCGATTCGAATTTCATTTTCGCGCGAATTCCTCGTTGCGGCTGAAATAATTATACCTCCCTTTTAATTTTGCTCAAATTAATTTTTAAGTTGGGTTTAATTACAGAATATTCCCTAGTTTTTATTTTGTTCAAGCAAAGAAGCTTAAACGCGAGTTTTACCGATGCAAGTACCATCGAGTATGTGGTTCGTAAATAATCGCCAGGTTTAATCCTCTGCACTGGAGATTTTCAGTCGCCGTTTAACAAAATTCTCCAGATCGTTATTAATTAATATATCAAATTTAAAATAACCTAAGAATGTTTGAATTCTCGAATAATTCTACCTGCCAATTTATATACGATCTCTTATTTACTATTTCAAAAAATATCGTCGGTTTTGTAGCTTAGGGAAAAATTCGCCGAGTGCGACGGGGTTGAAATTTCCGAAAGGATCTAGAAATTCTGTAAGAAGGTTAATTTTGTTGAACTTTCTTCCATATTTTCATAGCGTTTCGCGACGAAAGCGCTGCACGCTTATTCCGACGTTGGAGAGAACAAAGAGTATCGTGCCTACGTTCTTCCACCGGAAATGGGTTAACCGTTTGTTCACAAAGGAACACGACCTGCTGGTCTGACGGAAGTCTGACGTACAGAATGTGTCAACACGTCGTTTTCCCGTTTTTCTAGTCCGGTATCGCTCTTTGCTCTGTCCTCTGCAGGAATTAAATCCGAAAACGTGTCTTAACCCTTTTCACTCGACGATTTTTGATCAAAAGGAGAGTGGGAGTTCAAAGATTTTCTGCTATAAAGCTGACGATATTTTTTTAAATACTAAGTCAGAGATCGTACCGTAATTAACCCTTTGCACGGATAATTGTAAACCAAGTCCATTTCTTGGCCTGTGGGGCCGAAATTAATAAATTAATAATAATAATAATAACATATGTTGGATGACTAACGATTCGTTGGCCCTTAGTCACTAGAAGGGCCTGGCTGATAAACGTAGACCAATTTCAGAGTCGAAAAGCAATTGACTCACTCCTGCTTTCGCTAAGGGCCAATGGTCATCTTCATCCCACCAAAAACTAACATTATATAAGCACCTACAAAATTTGCGAAAGGTCAGTTCAGTTCAGTTTCAGTTTCAGTTCCAGTTTTAGCTTTTTTCCTCTTCGCCGACTTGTATTTTTCTAACGTAGCCTTGTTGCTAGAACCCGTGTTGTGTATTGAAATCCGGGTTCCAGCAGGCCAATGGTCATCTTCACCCCACCAAAAACTAACATTATATAAGCACCTACAAAATTTGCGAAAGGTCAGTTCAGTTCAGTTTCAGTTTCAGTTCCAGTTTTAGTTTCTTTCTCTTCGTCGACTTGTATTTTTCCAACGTGGCCTTGTTGCTAGAACCCGTGTTGTATATTGAAATCCGGGTTCGAACAGGCCAATGGTCATCTTCACCCCACCAAAAACTAGCATTATATAAGCACCCACAAAATTTGCGAAAGGTCAGTTTCAGTTTCAGTTTTAGTTTCTTTCTCTTCGTCGACTTGTATTTTTCCAACGTGGCCTTGTTGCTAGAACCCGTATTGTATATTGAAATCCGGGTTCCAACACATAAATTCTCCTAAAACGGAACGAAATAATCGAAGGACTTGAGCTCGAAATAAATAAACTGTTAAGGGGGTTATTACGCAAGGAAGAGTAGCTAGTGGAAAACTGTGGAAAAACTGTGTAGATCTTTATTCAACGGGCGAATGGTTAGAACTGGCCTGTTCATGGCCTCACAGGTCGAAAGACGTCTTCAGAAAACTGGTGACAAAAGGCGACTGGTGACAAAAGACAGAGCATTGGGGGACGGGATCGCCCCCACACCGCTGGAATGTAGAGTTTGCTTCGCTATTGAATTTTACCACAACACAAACGAGTGAAGAATAAATAATAAATCGGTTTTCTCGTCGTCGGCTAATTTGTTTATAACAAATTTGTAAATTTGTTTCTACTTCCTACGTTTGAAATAAACGCAATCGATCACGGCTCTGCCGAGTCAACGAAACTCGGATTACGCGGGGTCAACCGCGAACACAAAGTGCACGATCCTATCCCAGCGATGGAATCGCGCCACGATCGAGAGAGATCAAGAGAGATCGAGAGAGATCGAGATAGATCGACAAAGATCGGCAAAGGAAGACCGACAAAGCCCGACGAAGTACCCGAAAGCTATTCCCCTCTGGGCGATGTCAGCTTCGACAAATACGAACGAGTAGCCTGTAATCGTGTCACGAACAGCTAATCAATCGAAGATCGATCGATCCTAGTGGTCGCCGCGAAATCCGTCTTAATTCACGCCCTCGGGCTTTCTCGCGGCTTATCGGCCCGAATTGCAGTATACTTGGTATCCTGCGCGATCCTCCTGGTCCCCCGACTCGAGATCGATAGCCTCCTTTTTCCCGGGGGAAAAGTTGGTCCCGCTGCTTTATTAGGAACCGTCAGGGCAGCAAAATATCACGATCTGGCATCTACGTATCGGCGACAAGCGGATATTTATCGGCGATATTTCTCGGCCGGAAGTATCGACCCCCCGTTTCCGACCAAAGGAGAACGTTCTTCCGTTCACCTCGTCCTCTCGCTCTTCATTCTCCTTCGCGTTTTCCTCTTCTTTTCCCACCTTTCTTTCTCCCTCACTTTCCCTCTTCGCCTTTCTTCGTCTCTTTGTCACGCTGTCTGGGTGTCTCTCTGCTTCTGTGCCTCTGTATCTCTCTGTTTGTCTGTCTCTGTCTCTCTTTGTCACTGTCTGTATGTATCTCTGTATATCTGTCTCTCTGTCTCCTGTCCTTCTATCTCTGTCTGTGTTCCACTATCTCTCTCTCCCAGTTCCCTTAGCTTTGTCTCTGTTCTTCTATCTCTGTCTGTATTCCCCCATCTCTCTTCCTCTATCACTGCCTCTATTTCTGCCTCTGTCTATCTCCGTCTTTCTATCTCTGTCTGTATTCCCCTATCTCTGTCTCTGTCTTTCTATCTCTGTCTCTTTTCCTCTATCTCTCTTCTTCTACCTCTGTCTCTATTTCTCTGTCTGTGTTTCTCTATCTCTGTCTCTTTTCCTCTATCTCTCATCTTCTACCTCTGTCCCTATTTCTCCATCTCTGTCTCTGTCTATCTGTTCCTGTATCTCTGTCTCCCTTTCCGTTTGTCACCCTCTAGCTTCCCTAGTCTTCATCCTCGTCCACTCTTCGCATTTCAGCCTCAAAGCGATTTATTCCCACCGCCTTTTCATCCCCTATCGAACCATCGAAACAGTTCGAAGTCTGCGGAATAATTAGCCCCGTTTCGACCCGCTTAATTACCTTGGAAAAGCACAAGGCGCGTTTTAAAGAATGATCCAGGGGGAGCGGGAAGTGGGTCGTGGAAAAAAGGCGGCCTCTTGTCGAGAGTGGTCGGGAAAACCGACGCAAGTTCACGGTCGTGTCCCGGCGACGCGAAAACTAGGCTCTAGGTGTTGCTTTTGCCTCTTCTTCTTTTTTCGTCTCCTCTCAGTGGCGATAAATTGGCAGGAAAATTTCGTCCCTTTCGCAGCTCCGCTTTAAACAGCTATAGCTAAGCGCTGCAAGCGTCGACGTCAACTGTATCGTTTCGTCGCCAATTAGCACTTAGACGCGATAATTTACTACCTCGTTATGACGCTCCGCCCGACTATACTTAAACATAGCGGTATACGTAAATAATGATAATTAGAGTGGTGCGACGAAGGCAAAATAAGCGTGCAATTATACTCCGTGATCGGTAAAAGTCGAAGTTAATTTCCTCAAAAGAGCTGCGAGTCTTTGCCAACCGCAAACACCAGCAGCAAACCGAAGTCAGTCATCCCGACCGGTCTACCAGTTCAGTGTTAAAAAAACGTTATCTCCTATCCCAGGGACAGGTCGATATAGAGTCATGTTCCCAGTCTTCCAATATTTACATCATTCACCACCGTGCAATCAGTCTTCCGTCACTCGACACCTATTTGCAGAACCTCTCTCCAAGCAATCAGCCTCAGACCGTGCTTGTCTCTCGCTATCCGGATTATTCGACCATGTACCCCTCTTCCAAGACTTCGCACGAACCACTGACCTAGTCGCGAGTTCCACCAAAGTCGCACGACGTTCTTACACCAAATTGATTCTCAAAACTTCGCGAAATCGTGCACCTGGGACAAGAACACTCGGTAGAGTATCACCAAGATCACGAAGGAACGTGGAATCGTGTCAAAATCTACGGAAGTGACGAGAAGAATCGTTGATAAAGACTGAAAGACACGAACGAGGTTGAGAGTCGGAATTTCGCGGGAAACGTGTTCCCCTTTGCCAGATAATCGTGTCAGGGGTCGCGACTTCTATCTAATCGGGTCTCTGCAACGCGATGCAACGAGTAGCGAGTGTAAACTCTCGAGACGAGCGTTCAGTCGCGATCCAATCGTTAATAGCTTACCCCGACGAGTAGGAACTGGACCTCAAGATGCATGGATCTACTCTGACCTGTCTATCGATCGTCCTGCTATGCCTGACGATCGTTGGGGCCGAGGTGCAGCCTACGTGCAGGCGAATAACCGGCTACACGGTGTGCGACAAAAAGGGAACCCTGGTGGACGTCACTCAGCAGGATTTCGAGGACAGGCTAGAGATCCTCGCCCTGAACCTGCTGGCCATCCGCGAGAACGCTTTCAAGAACCTAACAGTCACGAGGTTGAATTTGGGTTTGGGTAATAAGATCTCCGCTGCGAGCAGGCAGTCGTTCCACGGTTTGGAAAAGTTGGAACGACTAGACTTAGACAGCAACGTGCTGCCTCTGTCTCCGAATCTGTTCGCCGAGTTGACCCAGCTGCATTCGCTGTCTCTGATCTTCAACAAGATCAACAAGATACCCAAGGACTCGTTCGCTGGCCTGACTAGCCTGATGTGGCTCTACCTAGGACACAACGACATCGAATCGATCAACGCGGATTCGTTCTCAGGACTGTCTTCGTCGCTGTTGTTCCTATGGCTGAACGACAATAAGATCTCCAATATAGAGTCCGGTGCTTTCAGCGGGATGACGGAATTGACCAGGCTCCATCTGGAGAACAATAAACTGACCTCCATTCAGACAGGAGTCCTGAAAGGCCTGCACAAGCTGGACGGCCTGTTCCTGGAGGAAAATCAGTTGGGCAGCATCTCCAAGACCGATTTCAAGGGACTGATCGGCTTGAGGATCTTGAACCTGCAGAGCAACCAGATAGCCAGCATCGAGCAGGGAGCGTTCTCGGATCTGAGCCAGCTAGAGCAGCTGGACCTGAGGAAGAACAAGCTGACGGAGATCAACACTGGAATATTCAACGGCCTGTCCAACTTGAAGAAGCTCGATTTATCCAATAACATGATCAGTGTAGTGCAGCCGAGCTCCTTTGCAGGGCTGCCAGCGTTGAAGACGCTGAACCTAGCGAATAACAAATTGTCGAACGTGGATCGGAAGAAATTTGGACTGACCGCTTTGACTATCCTGTACACGTAATGTAAGAATGTAGAAATTGCAGCAATAAAGAAGCCTGTCGTTGCTAATTTGACTAGTGTAGCTCGTGTTCGTCCTCATTCTGCACGGTTGCTCCGATCGATCAACAGGCTCGTAAATTATCGTATTAATTAAAAGCCCGTATCCATATCGGACTGACGCCATTGGGGTCGCTGACAGACGGGATCATTTTGCAATTATACCTAATTAACGCGAGTAAAATGGAAGAAACCGTTGATTAACCGACGAAATTTTCAATTTCCACCGAGTTCGTTAAGCTTATTATTCCTTATCATTAATTTATCGTTTCGAAAGCGTTTTAAATTGTTCGTGAAATGCGTGATTACTATAGGCAATTTCGATTTCGGGTGTCAAAAGCTCCGAGTATATAATAAATTAGAAAATAATTATGACGGAACCGCAAACTCGACAACTCGAATTTAACGATTAGACTTTTCACTATTTTGCAAAATATAGTTTCACTGTACGATGTAAGATCAAGCTTTTCACTTACAATTAGACCACTGTCGCGATACCGTCACGAATTATGTACTCGTGTAAATTGTGCCTACTTTCGCGTGACTTTCGTCGGTTATGCGATTTTCGAGGAGAGGCCATGCAGAATGGTGTCACGTATGTGTATACGACCGTCGTTAATCTGACTGGCCGACATTAGATAAGTGCAAACCTCTGTTGGTCGTTGTTCTTCCCGGCGTTATCAGCGGACAAGAGCGTGTGACACGCGCGGGTCAAGTGTTGCGTTTTAAACGCGCGCGTTGTTCAGCGTAAAATAAACGTAAGGAAAAGTGTCACCGAAATTTCGTTGGATAGCACGAGACCGTGCCTCGTTGATACGCTCGCTGGGTTACAAATTTCCATCTCTAAATACCGCTGGTCCCATTTCCGCGACGGGTTTTAATTTATCCCAAAAAACGCCCACGTTTGCCCGAATCCGGAGGAAAACGAAATTTTTTCGCCCGTTGGAACGGTGAAAAATTAAAATTACGAATCGGAAGGCACGGCTGTTATCGCGAAATGTAAAAATCTCAGCTTTCCGCGTTTACCTTTATGTCGCGGTGCATTGGAAATTGGGGAAAAATTGTGTCGGGGTTAAAAAGGGGGAAAAGGGGTAGAAATATGGGTAGAAGCTTCGGAGAAAAATATTCAGATCAGAATAGACGAGCAGCTCTGGAAATACTAAAATACTCCTACGCGGGGATTCTACATCGGAGAGAGGAATAGTTGAAAATAGAAAAGACAGATGTGAACAGATTTAACCCCTTGCCGGTTAAGCTACGATGGCAAATGCCATAATCAGTGAGAGACGAGTCTTTCCGAGAATAACACGTAACCAAGACAGAAAGATATCGGCGAAAATTAACCACGAGCTTGACTAATGAAAATAATAATTAAATGCTGCAGAGACACGTCTAAGTTACTATCGAAGTATGTAAATTATCATACTAGCTTGACAAAATAAACGCACATGTGTCTTCTGTGTGACCAACGAAAACCTTCGAATTGATTCCTCTGCTAGTGGTCACGGGCCATTCTATCGTTCACCCTAAATTTTTCGTTGAATAGTGGAAGAATTGTAAGAATGTAAAATAAATATCACTCACCGAATTCTCGTTCGAAGACTGTCGAAGTTCCGGGCGTGGCAGGAGCAACAGGAAAATCGGCCACGCGTCGAGCCATTTCGTACTAACGTGACGAAGAATAACACGCAACTGAAACAGAAAGATATCGAAAATTAATCACAAGCCTGAACTGTGTTTACGTTGGACCCACCTGTAAGCCACGCCTTTCTCATCCATGGCATTCATGTTTGACCCAATCCCGTACTACGAGTCTCATAGTATATTGTAAATAAAGAGGTTAATGGCTGAACGAGTAAAGTCGGAACTTTGTAATTCAGTGGACCTCGGTTCAAATCTCCTTGGGATCGGGTTCGATTTTTCTCTGGATATTTTAACACGAATATTAGTATAGGACCCCCAAAACTCGAATTTTAAAATTCCTTTGAATTTTTCGATAAAAAATACACTCGAAAAAATAAAATACTGTAATATAATGAAAATTATACTCGAGTTGAGAAAAGTAATTTCTAAGAGTAATAATTTAAATTTTCGATAAGGAATATAAAAAATATTCTATAGAAAGAAAAGAATTCTCAAAATAAAAAATATTCTGAGGGTTAAAGAAAATAAAAAAATCCAAATGGAAATTGAGAGGAAAATAAAATTAGTGTTTAAATAAACAAAAATTTGAAATCCCGAATCCGAATAAATTTCGAAATGAATATGACATTTAAAAAATGCCTTCAAAGAAATATGAGAAAACACGCGAAAATAGTGAAATTCCGAATAATCTCTGAATTCTGAAGAAGTTTCGGAACTCTCGGAAGTTTTATCGCTCTGTAAACTTATCTCTAAGTTCTTCTATGGTATATAAAAATCACCATTGGCGAGTTCTTATCGGAAGCTAAGAGAAACTTTGTAGCAATAACCACGTTCGTACCAAGGATGACCAATTTGTCAAGATTCCGTCCTTCACACATAAACTCCGATCGATCCTCACGGAGTGGAATCAATCATTCTCGAGGCTAAACAACCTACGCGTCGAAGGTTGACATTTTACTGAACATTTCTTAGACAATAGACGCACGATTCTCCGAAAGTAATACATATATTAGAAATTCTTTAAACGTCAAACCAGACAATGATACCATGCTTAAAACAACCTCAACATAGACAATTGTGAAATTCGAAGAATATTTCAAAAAGGATTAAGATTCGACACGACTACTTCACCAAATTTACGTTTCGACGGTAATTTATGAAACATCAAATTTCAATATTCTATATAACTTTAGATAGCACACTATCCATTAGCTGGTTTCCCATTAACTGCATTTTTCAGCTGAATATTCAATCCCTTCATAATCTTAATCCTTCCCTTGTAGTTATGCGAAGACCATAGATGTATTCGCAATGAGAATGCAGCTTTTGTTAATAAAATTTAATCACCTTATACGACGAATAATCACGTAGCACGTATAAATTAAATTAACAATAATCGTGTATTGCAACAAACATATACGTGAGCTTTAAATATATACAATAGAGCCCACCCATGAAAATACCAACAAGATCACCTATATGAGACCAGGATTCTTAACTCCCTCAAATTCACAAAACATTTTGAATTATGAACAAAAAATACAGATATCAAACTTACTGAAGATACAAATCTCATAACAAATATAAATATAAATTACAAAAATCACACTTATATTCTTTACACAAACCTTCTCGTTAGCTTCCATAATTTTCAGGACACCGATTAAAAGCCACCGATTTTCTGACTTGAAAGAATTCAAAAATGGAAAGGTATCCACTTCGAAGAATCACGCTTGAGTAGTAAGAAATCCAGACACCCAAGTAAAAAGATCCGAACACTCCTGCAAATAATTTCTCTCATACCAATTCAGGACGCTCAAGTGCTCAAACCACCCAAAGAAAACACCCTCGTAAGTAGAGAACACGCTTCCCAGAAGCTGCTGGCGAGCATAAGAAAAGCACTGGTGGCAGAAAAGTCGGTATCAGCCGGTCGCTAGCGTGAGCCATTTCAACGACATGTCATCCTTAACACGGGACCCGATATTTATTACAAGGACTCGCGTTAAAGGCGTACCGGTTGGCCGTTGGATCGGCACGAGCCACGCCGGTGAAAGTGCGGCTTTCGAGCGGTCGCGCGACGTTAGACGCGTATTTCGTTTCGGAAAGCAGATACTTGTGCGAGTCCAGCGGCGTGTCCGGAGGCGGCCGAGTGAGACACCTCAGGTTTGATTTACAACGCTCGCGATGCATTCGAGAACGTGACTGGACCCCCCCAAGCGTTAGACCGTTTAACTCTATCACGAGTAAACGTTGCGGCAGCCTTAAGACGATTTTGCGTTTAACTCACTAGCGCCACCACGGCCCGTATCTACGATAAACCTATCGTAACTATGGTCTATATCATTTTCTAATTTTACCTTGGACCTTTCTTCTTACTATGGGGGTTTAAATATATTCTGTGAAAGTGTTATGGGGGAATTCGGGTAATCTTGGTTCAGAAAAATCGATTTTTTTTTCTACAGTTTAGGATTTAATGTATTTTTTGCGAAACCGTATTTTCCAAACTTGTTGACGGAATATCTCGAGTTCTAATTGGCGGATTGATTTCAAATTTGACGTAGATTTTCACCAGATATTCCTCCATCGCATAAACAACGGATTTCGAAATCGAATGTTTTTTACTATTTTTTTTTAACACACAAAGGACAAAGAAACGAGGAAAGACCAATACTCGAATTTCGAAATTTTGTTAACTTTTGAAATTCTTCGGAAATATTTTTATTTGAAAGACTAGAGTATTAGAAGAAATAAATAGTATCTTGAGGAATATACTTCTGGACTTAAAAATATTAAAAATATTAATAAATAAAGGAAATCGAGCATTCAATGAACATTGTCGAAGATTGTATAAAGTTGTCACTGCGATACATGGAGATATCGAAACACCATAGTCGCCGGCATAAATCATCGCGGAACGTGAGAAACACGAAACTAATGTCAAAATAAAATCCCGCGAAAGGTGACGTTGACATTTGCTCCAGCAAGCGGAGCACCTCTTTTAAAAAGGGCGCATATGTCAAGCTGGAAAGGGCAAATCCGAAACGAACGTCGTACATCAAGCCAGCCGGCCATCCCTCTAGGCATGCACGACAGCGCCCTCGTGCCGGACATTCGCTTCGAATCTCTGAAACTCGTTTCGAGTCTGGTCCAACGGCTTCGAAATACCACGGTGGATAGACCGACAAAGGGACGAAAAGAATCGATAATAAAGCGTTCCTATTAGACCCATTAGCAGTGACTCATTGTCGATTGCAGGACACATTTCGCCAGCGACAGGGCAAACGGTCCGTGAATAACAAAGAACCAGGATCACGACTGTCTAGTCTTATCGTTAGACTCGTATTTCATCGGACAGGACGCGACTATTAATTCGAAAATATTCTCCATAGTTTCGGAATCGAGTCTGCATCGAGGTTCCGGCTATCGTTGCTCGTCCGACTGTTACGTTCCGCGATTTATTACAGGTCATCTGGCCGCCTGAGCCAATTAAATCGGACCTCCACTGCTCTGGAGGATCGCGTCGATACCGTGGAAGCTACTTTTTAGTCGGTTCAGAGGACTCTGGATCGACGATTCCCGGAGAATGGACCGATAAAATCAGTCCACTGACGTCCGAGGCCTGATCGTTCGTCAGAGGATTCCGCTCCGGCCAATTAAGCTGCTTTGGAGGGTCGATAGGTGTTCCTTGTTTCTGTCCAGCTTTAAAAGAAGGATAATCGATCGTGGCAAAGGCCGGCGAGATTCGTCTCGTCTTTGATACGAGATTGATAACTACGTTTCGATCGGTAGATGGGAAATAAGTCCGTCAATCCGTGTTACGAGTGACTATTTATGAAAATCTAGGTTAGAGAGGAGCTCTTTGTCTTTAATCGCAAAAGTCGAGACTAGCCAAGGTCAAGAACAGATTAAGATACTTGCACCAGCCTCGTGGCCTCGGGAGGATCACACGCAGGAGCTCATCAGCTACATTCACGTCCACAAAGTCCCAATCCTTCATCCAACGTGTCTCTATTCTCACTCCTCTCGATTAATCCTAAGCTAGCAGGAGTGAAATTTCATTCCGTGTATAGATTTTGTTTTATTCTGCTTTAATGCATATTGAAAAATGCGACCACTCACGATATCAATCTTTTCCTCCAGTGGCAACTCTCGGGGACCAATTGGAAAAATTATTGCGTAAAGTTTATGCATAATTTTTAGCAGGAAAGCTTCAATTTTCAAATGCAGGAGGTTAATTGTTGACAACGTCGGTAATGACAGTGACTAGCATTCATTGTGCTTTGTCATGAAGCACATTGTCGCTGCATCGAGATACCTATTTGCGATTAATTTCTATAATTCGAGTACACGTAACAAACTGCATTAATAAAGAGGAAACCGAATGCGAGAAATAAAATTGAGGAAAAACTTTCGTTTAAGCTTTCTTTAAGGATCAAATACGTAATAATTCTCTTCGATCCCGGCAAGAAAGAAGCCACGATTACTCGAGCAGACGGTAACAGTTGTCGTATATTTAACGGTGCCGCTTAAGAACCTCGCTTTTATATTATTCCCTAGCACTCGAGATGAATGTCGGATAAAAGGGAGGCGAGCAGAAAGGGATCGAGCGAGATAAAGGTCACCT